CCTCCTGAGCTGTGTACCCTTCAGTCCAAGATTAAAGAGGAGTGGGGGCCGTGGGCTGGTCCCCATGGGGTGTACACTTCCATCTTCTTTTTTTTTTTTTTTTTTGAAGTATCACAGACAAATAGATTTTTTTTTTTTTTGGGAGGGTTTTTTTTTAAGGCACATGCACTCGCCCGCCCTTCTCCTCCATTCCCCTCTCGGGATCTTGGGCATGCACGCACATGCGCCCAGCATGAGTTTAAGCCACCGGGTCCAGGACTCGAACCGTGGTCGACTACATGGGAGTCCAGCAATTACGCTAAATGCTGGTCCCAGGCTTTTTTGGTCTCCACACATGCCACCAGGTCAGGAACTGAGACTCAGAGACAGGCCCGGCCAGGCACAGGCCACCCCTGGACAGAGGCAGGCACCCCTCCCCCCATCACCACTCTCTTCTGGCTGGACTCTGTGGCGTGGCTGGTCCATGGCCTGCTTATTGATGGGAAGGCGGGGGTGTGGCTTTGTCGTTCACAGTTCTGGAGGCTGGGAAGTCCAAAATGTTGGTGCCTGGCGAGGGGCTGCTTCCCCCTAGATGCACCTCCTAGCTGTGTCCTCTCACGGTGGGAGGGGCTAGCCGGCCCCTGGGGTCTCCTTTATAGGGCACCAATCCCAACCGTGGGGGCAGGGCTCACTTTTTCTTTTTCGTTTAGAGAGATTTTTGCTATAGGGCACATGTGCTCACTGGACAGACCAAGAGAGAGAAAGTGAGAAATTATCCCACCCCACCCCAGGGTAGGTGGCCATGTTGCAATCCCTTCTCCTCCATTCTCCTCTCGGGATCTTGGGCGCGCACGCACACACATGCCCAGAGTGAGTTTCAAGTCTCCGGGTGTGGGACTCGAACTGTGGTCGGCCAGGTGGGAGTCCAGCAACATAACCGCTACACTACCCGCTGGTCCTTAGGCCTCTCCTCTGAGTGCTATCACACTGGTATTAGGTTTCACCATATGCATTTTGGAGGGACACCATGGCAGAGGTGCACCTCCATCCGCTAGGGCCAAGAACCATGCCCCACTGACTGAGCCATGGTCTCTCACCTTCCCTGCAGTTCAGCCAAGCAGGACGGGTGGTGTGCTAGTTTCTGTGGCTGCTGTAACAAAATACCACAAACTTACAGCTTAAAGTGACAGAAACTTATTCTCCCACAGGCCAGGAGTTCCAGAGCAGTGTCACTGGGCTGAAATCAGGTGTGGGCAGGGCTACGCTCTCTCTCTGTCTTTGTTTTTGTTTGTTTGTTTGTTTTGTTTTG